TCCTATCCATGAGCATGGAATGTTTTTCCATTTCTTTGTATCTACTTCAATTGCCTTCATAAGTTTTCTATGGTTTTCATCATACAGATCTCTTGTATCCTTGGTTAGGTTTATTCCTAGGTATTTTATGGTTTTTTGTGCAATTGTGAATGGGATCAGTTTCTTGATTTCTCTTTCTGTTGCTTCATTATTGGTGCATAAAAATGCAACCGATTTCTGGATGTTGATTTTGTACCCTGCAACTTGGCTGAATTCTTGGATCAGTTCTAGTAGGATCAAACCATGAAAGACTCTTGAATGCTGAGAACAAACTGAGGACTGATGGATGTCGGCGGGGGGGCGTAGGGGGAAGATGGGCATGGAGGAGGGCACTGTGGGGATGAGCACTGGGTGCTATATGGAAACCAACCTGACAATAAACTATTTGTAAACACACACACACACACAGGAAAAGGCTTGTATTATATAAAGAAAAAACTTAATATAAAAAATGTATTAATGTGGAATGGGGTTCCTGGGTGGTTCAGTTGGTTAAGCATCCCACTCTTGATTTTTCTGAGGTTATGATCTCACGGTTTGTGAGTTCAAGCCCTGTATGGAGCCTGGTTGAGATTCTTCCTCTCCCTCTCTGCCCCTCCCTTGCTCATGCTCTCGCCCCCTCTCAAAAGAAATAAAACTTAAAAAAAAAAAAAAAAGAATTAGTGTGGGATGTCCCAGCACAGCTCTTAGCACAGACATTCACTCAATAGATTGTTGCCATTATTACTATTATTAATGCTATTATTACTATTATTAATACTACTATTAGCCAGAGTCTTTCTTCTTTCTTCTTATTTTGAAACGGGATTCACGCCATTTCACTTTTCGAACTTTACTGTTTTGCCTCTCTGGGGATGCCTGAGAGAAGAGAAGGAACACTCCAAGGATTGCTAAGCATCACCTGCATTTAGCAGAGGCATGCACACAGACTAGGGTCTGGGGCCTGGTAGATTAGATGCAAAGGTAGCAAAAAACAGAAGAAATATTCTGTAGAAGAGAATTACGTGATCATGCAGGAATCAAATGCAGATGACAGGTTAGGAGAAACTTGTTCATTAACAAGTGTAAAATTGGAAGTCTTTCACCTGATGTTTTATTTCAAACTGCCTGATGTAAAATCTTGCATTGCAAGGCACTGATGGCTTCTGACCATGGCCTAGACCTGACTTTAGTTAGCCGGTACTTGACCTTCCCCAGCCCTTTTTTCCCACCACCAGGTATCTAGTCTGAATCCTATTTCTTTTATTTTATGATAACCAGTTCTAGTTTAGCTGTCAGGTATTTGGGTTAAAATTTGTACCTGGGACTTGTTTTTACCAGGTATGGTAAGGCGCACAGACATGGAGATGACTATTATGAAAGAAGAAGTTGATGGGGCACTTGGGTGGCTCAGTTAAACGTCTGACTTTGGCTCAGGTTATGATCTCACAGTTAGTTTGAGCCCCATGTCAGGCTCTGTGCTGACAGCTTGGAGTCTGGAGCCTGCTTCAGAGTCTGTGTTTCGCTCTCTCTCTTCCCCTTCCCTGCTTGCTCTCTCTCTCTCTCTCTCTCTCTCTCAAAAATAAATGAATAAACTTTAAAAGAAAAGTTGATACTCCTAGATCTCTGGAATTAGGAGGCATGGTACTTCATGGCACCCAAGTCACATGGGAAAGGACCAGGGCCAGGCAGGGGCAAAGAGGCATGAGAGGGGAGAGCATGGCCTGGAGCCTTTAGTGTTTTCTTTTTTTTTTTTTTTTTTAGTGAAGAAATGGGTGACATAATGAAGGTCTTCTGAGTAAGTTTAGGATTGGCTAGTTTGAATAATTTTGTCCAGCTGAAGACGATAAGGGTTGTTCCTAGTTGTTGGATACCTGGCTCTGGGGTGATTTAGGGCAGGGTAAATATTGGCTTGGGCTGTGATATGTTTTAGAGGAGGCAGTTGGGTATGTGGGCTTTTGTAATGGCTGTGTATAAAAGGTGTGCTAGAAGGGATTAATTTGCTATCTCTAAGAATTAGCTAAGGAGGCACAATCTCTCCAGGATCAAAGCGCCAAAGGTCAGAGCATCAAGAATACAAAAAATAAGAAAATATAGTTAATACAGTAAAGATAACAGCTAGTAGGCCCTTCTGTATAATAGCCTAACACTACATTATAATGTGTCTGTCATGCAACTCACTTTATCTAATCACATAGGCATTTTATCATCCCACATCATCACAAGAAGGGAGAGCACAGTACAATAAGATATTTTGAGAGATAAAAACCATATTCGTGTACTTTTTATTATAGTATATTGTTATAATTGTTATATTACCTTATTAGCTTTTGCTGTTAATCTCTTCCTGAGAATTAATAGGAAAAAATTAATAGGAAAAAAATATAATACATATAGGACTCAGACTATCTTCAGTTTCAGTCATCCACTGAGGTCTTGGCACATATCTCCCATGGATAAGAGGGGAATACTGTATTCTAGATTGTTCACATAAATGGAATCACAATATGTGACATTCTGTGTTTGGCTTCTTTCAGTTACCAAAATATTTTCAAGTTTCATTCATATTCTAGCATGTATCAGAACTTGATTACTTTTCATGGATGAATAACATTCCATTGTATTGTTATCTCATATTTTATTTCATCAGTTGATAGACATTTGGGTTGTTTCTACTTTTTGACTATTATGAATAGTATTGCTATTAAAATTTGTGTATAAATTTTTTTAACACTTGGCATTTTTTTATTAAAAAAATTTTTGATGGGCATGGAGGAGGGCACATGTGGGGATGAGCACCGGGTGTTATATGGAAACCAACTTGACAATAAACTATTTGTAAAAAAAAAAAAAAAAAAAAATTAATGTTTATTTTTGAGAGACAGGGAAGGGGAAGAGAGAGAGGGAGACATAGAGTCTGAAGCAGGCTCCAGGCTCTGATCTGTCAGCACAGACCCTGACAGGGGGCTTGAACTCATGAACTGTGAGGTCATGACCTGAGCTGTAGTCCAATGCTTTACCAACTGAGCCACCCAGGCACCCAGAGCATCTGGCTTTAATTCTTTTTTTTTAAAGTTTATTTATTTATAAAGAGACAGAGCCAGTGGGGGAGGGGCAGAGAGATGGAGAGAGAGACTCCCAAGTAGGATCTGTCAGGGTTAGAGCCTGATGTGGGGCTTCAACTCACAAACTGTGAGATCATGTTGAGCCAAAAACAAGAGTAGGAAGTTTAACCAACTGAGTCACCCAGGCACACCCTGGCTTCAATTCTAATGATACTTCTTTTAAAAATAAGATTTTATTGGAACAAAGCCATATCCATTCATTTATTCACTGTTGCTATGGTGGCTTTCATGCTGTGACGATAGAATTGCCCTTAACAGAAAACATTTGCCAACTCCAGTTTGAACCACTCCACTAAGCTGCTGAGAACATGGGTTAAGATACATCATTTTCTGAGATTATTAAAACCCCTTTCCATATTCCCTTGCTCTAAGTGCAGTGCACAGCTTTGCTCTAAGCCTATGCCTCAGGTAAGGAAGGGGGCTCTGACAGACTGCAAAGTTTGGGAGTGAGGTTTGCAAAGGGGCATTCAGAAGTAAAGAGGGATCTTGTTTCTTTACCAATGTTCCTTATCCTCAGCACCCATCACAGTTCCCCCAGAATTGGAGGTGTAGCCTGGAATGACCTATCCCAGGACTGGTGATCTCAGAACCGATCATTATCATCATCATCATCATTGTCATTATCATCATTTCCTGCTAAAAAGACACCCAGCATCTTTAGTGACTTCAAATGGAGATTATGCAAGTGGCTCCAACAGCAAGATTGGAGTCTTATTTTATTTTATTTTAATATTTATTTTTACCCCAGCATACAGAGCTTATCTGACTTTAATAATTTTTTTTTTTGTCACACATGTCTGCAAATGTTTGTTTATCATTGTTTTCTTTCAGTATATTTTCATAGAGCAGCAAGGGGCATAAATGGAGTTAATTAGTATAAAAAATGTAGGGGTAGCTTGTTAAAATCATGTTAAAAGCTGATTGCTGTTCATCGCCTCCCCCTCCTACAATATTTAATCTTGATTGCTCCATAGTTCTGTTTATGACTGTCCAGAACAAGATGATTTTCTCGTACTTTTCATAATAGCAAATGATCACATAGAATGTCAGCCAAAAGGCTTATTTGTTTAGGGTTCTCTTCTTCTTTTAATAGGTGTGCACAACTCCCATTAACGTTAATGTGAAGTACAAACGAGCACCGATGAAAAATAGACTCCTTTATCTCATTCCTTTTCCTGGATAATGAGGTTTAGATTTGTTAACAGATCAGAGCAAAAGTCCAGTGGAAAAAAATGTCAGCTTAACTTTTAAAGAAATTGATATGCTAAAAAGAATTTTCACAGGTTTTAAAGTGGAAGATGCACATTAATAAACTTCTGGGACCCTTGGGTGGCCGTCTGTTGAACCTCCGACCTCAGCTCAGGTCATGATCTCACGGTTCCTGGGCTTGAGCCCCACATCCGGCCCTGCGCTGACAGCTTGGAGCCTGGAGATACTTCAGATTCTGTGTCTACCTCTCTCTCTGGACCTCCCTGCTCACACTGTGTCTCTCTCTCAAAAGTAAATAACACTAAAAAATTAAAAAATAAATAAATAAATAAACTTTATTAGCATTTAAGGTGAAATATAATCATTTAAAATGCTGGATTAGGCCGCCCGCCCGCCCCCGGCCTCGCCGCCGCTTCCTTCGCTCCCTCAGCGCGCCGAGCGCGGCCCAGCGGCCGGGGCGGAGGCCCAGGGGCGACGCGGCGCCGAGCGGGCGGGCGGGCTTCGGAGAGCCGGGCGGCCGGGGTCCGCGGCCGGTAGGTGCGCGGCGGGCGGGCGGCGGGCGCCGGTCTATATGGCGGCGGCTCTGTCGGGCCTGGCTGTCCGCCTCTCGCGCTCGGCCGGCGCCCGCTCCTATGGGTCTTCTGCAAGGGGCTGACCCTCACGCTGCTCATCTTCTTCGACCTGGCCTGGAGGCTGCGCATCAACTTCCCCTACCTCTACATGGTGGCTTCCATGATGCTCAAAGTCCGCCTGCAGGTTCATATTGAGATCCATTGAAGGCCTTCTGCTGACTGACAAACGCGTGTCATCGGGCTCACCACACCAGGGAACACGCAGCATGAGGGACAGAGTGGGGGCTCTGGGCACCCGCCTCGGGAAGGTGAAGGGGACAGGAGAGGACTCAGACAGGCTGCTGTGTGGACTTGGAAAGGAGCACGGGGTGAGACCTCTTGCCCTTCCTCCTGGATGCGTACGCCTGCGGTTGATGCAGATGGAAATTCGCAAAATGAGGAGTTATCGACGGAAGTGAAAAACGCTCTGAAGGATGTCAGCCTCTCGCTTCACAACAGCGACAAAGCGCTTCCATGTTGGGAAGAGTCATTAAGAAGAAGTTCAGCTTGCACAGCAGCCCAGAGCAAGACTGTGGCTCTGTCCTGGGCCCCTGCAGGAGAGCGGTGTGCCGGGGTGTCCTGTGGTGAGGGGGGAGCACTGGAGGGAGCCTGGCCCGGAGGACGGTGCCGCATAGGAGAGCCGTGTGGGTCGGGACTACCGTGCCTTCAGAAACGGTCACAAGTGGGGATTTCTGAGGAGGAACCGCCAAGTGCTCTTCTAGACGGGCAAGGCTCTGAGTCGGAACTGTCTTGCCCGCGCTTCGTCCTGTCTACACTGCTGCACGCGCACCCGGAAGTATTCCTGAACGATGAGACAGAATGTGTTTTCTTTGGCCGCTCAAAGCCTGCGTTTTCCTAGCAAACAGAATACAAGAAAATGCTTTCACGTGTGAAAAGTACCTCAGCCGATCTGCAGATCACCCTGGGGTTACTGGCTCTCCCAGCTTTGGGAGTAGCAAATCCGTTACACCATAGTTAAGGTACAAGCAGAACAATAAAAATAGTGAGATTAATTTTAAAAGCGGTTTTAGAATGATTTCTTTCACCCTGAGTCTGGAGGCCTGATACCAGGGCAGCCGCGAAGTTCTCGCCTCAGTCGATGTGATCAGAACTAAAGGAAGTGGACTTGGAACTCCTGGGAAGTTGGTTGATGTGGGAGAATTTTGAGCATGCTTTAAATTGTGCTCGAAAGATACTCAGTATTGGGCTACGGCCTTAAGGACGGTCACGTACCCTGTATCAATATCGGATTAGAACGTGAAGATGTAACAAAATACTTTATGGATCTTCAGCGCTCATTGCCAAGGGCTCCTGTCCCAGACACTGTCTCCTCGGGCCATCTGCCCCTCTGCTGGAAGTGGCCGTTGGTACAAGTCAGCCCCTCCGTAGTTGACTGTTAGCTGTCCCCGTTTGCGCATTCTGTAGAATAATTTTGGTCTGTAGCACAATTTGATTCCTTTCCTCACGTCCCCTCTCCTTCCACTTGAAACGCAGTTTAAATGGAGGCCCTGCAGTGAAAGTTGCAATATTAAATGTACTTTTAGCATAATCCTTTTTCGAACTGGGAGCCCCACCTGTGTCGCCTGAAATAAAAGCAAGCTTAGGACTTCTGTGCTGCAGCTCAGCTAGGGAGAGACGGACCTAGCCTTTCCCTTACAGGAAGGTTCCAGTTCTTAGGAGTGGAGGCATATGCTAACGTTTTTTTTCCCTGAGGTAACGCCTCGGGGTTGTTGATAACTTTGATAAAGGTCACTTCAGAGAGTGTGGAGTTTTTAAGGAGTCCCAAAGTGAGACCTCACTGCTTTCGCGGCTCTCGATTGCCTATATCGGTCTGTGTGCTAAATTACTATGCTGTGTGCTGTTTCAGTGTTTTGGGAAAGTGAAAACTTCAAACTTGTTACTTAGCATAATAAATGCTAATATTTAAAAAAATAAAATAAAATGCTGGATTAATAAAATGCAAAGGATTCCCTAATGGACCTATTTGCTTGCATTAAATAACTAATAAAACATATTCTGACATGTAAGACATGGCATTTTGCACAAATCAGCAGGATTGTTGGCTGATGGAAGGGAGGAGTTGGTAAGAGAATGGGATCTTTGGATGCCACAGGATTCCTGGCAGTGCCTCCTACAGAATTAGGAATATAAAGATGGGTGGATGGCAGTTTAGACTTTAGCTATGTTGTAGCTGAGGTTGAGGCAAGGCCACTATGCAGAAATGATCAACAGTTAGCCGGAGAAGCAAAATTGGATTGTCTCCAAAATCCTGTTGGGAAAATCATAATGACCAGGAAGTCACCAAAGTGAGCCAGAATCCTTGTCACCAGACATGTTTTAGCATCATTATGCTTTCTTTTTTATCTGCTTTTGTGCAATAAAACAATTCCTCTGATAATATTTATATAAATACTCTAAAATTAGCTGACTGTGTGCAGCATGGATAAGGTGTGGATTGTCTGCTGAATAAATGAAAAGAGAATGCACATGGTGGTGGGAGCCAGGGACCTCCCAAATGTCTGCTCCCAACCGGGTTCCTGACTGAGGTCAAGCAGGCATTTTGAACTTTCAGAATCTCAGTTATCTATAAATTGAGTGGATGGGAAAATGTCTTCTAAGATTCCTAAGAACTTGAAAATCCATGAATTTAAGCCTCCACTTTTACGGCCAAAAAGCCTGGCATATTGTCCAGCATGTAGAGCTCATTTGAAATACCTGTTAATTGGGGTGCCTGGGTGGCTCAGTTGGTTAAGCATCTGACTTCAGCTCAGGTCATGATCTCATGGTTTGTGGGTTCAAGCCCCGTGTCAGGCTCTGTGCTGACAGCCAGCTCACAGCCTGGAGCCTGCTTCAGATTCTGTGTTTCCCTCTCTCTCCGACCCTCCCCTGCTCACACTGTCTCTCTCTCTCTCAGAAATAAATAAAACATTTTTAAAAATTTTAATGAAATACCTGTTAATTAAACAAAAAGAAAATAAACATAAGTTGAGATTTCAAATTTGAGTAAAATATCACAAGTCAAGGAAAATCTTATTTTTATCTTTATAATTATAAATGAAGTATGATTGCATTTCTTTTAATGAGGTTTCTTTCACTGTTGAAACCTCTCTCTCTCTCTCTCTCTCTCTCTCTCGCCACATAATGACAGATGAAAGGTTAATGTTAGTCAGCAAAAAATAAATAATCTAACAGTGGGCAACAACAAATGGGCAAAGGACAGAATAGGCAGCTCTTAGAAGAAATTCAGAGATTAAATAAATATTTAAATATCCAACCAACCTCAATATTAAAGAAATACAAAGTAAAATAATGCTAAAATATTTTTAGGTATTTGATGATAAGGACATTGATGACACCATTTCCCCATTGATGTGGGGAAAGAGAAACTTTACTTTTTTGGTGGGAGCCTGACTTAAAAAGCATGTACCATAATTTTCATTCATTTTTAGGAAATAATTTGCTTTAATTTTCTAATGAGCAAAAGATTGGTGTAAAGATTTACTGGTGTAAAAGATTAAAATAGCGAGAATGTGTTTAATGATGAATGTTTCTCTTTACCACCATTTCTTCTCACCTTGCTTCCACCTCACTCTTCTTGCTAGATGTAACCACACTAACAATTTGTTGTGCATTTTTCTATTGCTTTTCTATCATATGCATGCAAATGTATGTGCATATATTTATATATGATATGCTTACTGAGTGGACTCCGACTGCTTGTACAGATCTTCAATTTGCTTTTGTCACTTAAACAGATATATTTATCTTTTTCTCCACATACACTTACACAATGATGGCATTCCTTTTAATAGTTGCATAGTTTGCCTTGGTATGGCTATAGTGAGTCTCAGTGGAGGAAGACATCTTGCCTCCTAGGGTACCTATGACAATGTCTACAGACATTTTGGTGGAGGGAACGGGTGCTACTGCCAAATAGTGGGAGAAGTTAAACACTCTGGTAAACACCTTTCAATTCCAGGACAGAATCCTGCTGCAAAGAATATTGAGGTCAAAAGTCAATGGTGCCGCTTCCACTTTCTTCCTTCCCCAAGATGGCAACAGCTGAAGACATGTTACTGCTACTGTGGCTCCCTATGCTGTTTGAAACCAGCAAGCAGCTTCTGGACGAAGTAGTAGTGACTGAACCTACCAGTTCCTGGATAATTCAACATAAGGTATTCAGGGTATAGACCTCCTTAAGAAGGTTGCTGAAATGTTCAGCCTAAATGAAGACTTGGAAGAGATTGCTTCCTCCAACCTTAAGTACCTGATGGTCTCAGCCTTTCAAGGAGTGCTTGCCATGAAACAAGTCAATCCCACCAAGCGTGTAGATCATTTGCAGTGGGCTCAAGAACACTTTTTTAAACTACTTAACTCAGTGCCAATATTATCACGTGGCAGAGTTTGAGCTACCCCAAACCAACTCAACTGATAATAATACTACTAGTTCCTCCATGGCCTGTCCTAGCCTCGTTGCTGTGGCATCTAAAAGACAGGCTAAAATAGAGAGATACAAGCAGAAGAAGGAGGTGGAACATAGGTTGTCTGCTCTGAAATCTGTTGTGGAAAGTGGTCAAAGAGATGATAAGTGTGTTCATGAATGTTATCTCCTTCACCTTTGAAGGTGGATCTGTATCAGCTTAGAAGACATTGAGAACATTGACCAGGAGATGATGATCTTGAGAGAAAAAGACTCCTCAAAAGAGGCGTCAACTTCTTACTCATCTCATAAGTTCTCACTCGGAACATGGCCCAAGCCAAAGTATTTGGAGCTGGTTATCCAAGTCTGGCATTTATGATGGTGAATGACTGGTATGATCAGCATCAGAAATATGGAGATTTACCAGATCAGGGTGTAGTGAAGACAACACCAGAGCTCAAAAGAGCAGCTCAGCAACAGGAAGATCAAGAACAAAAGAAGGAGGAGGAGGGGGAGAAGGAGAAGAAGAAAACCCTCCACAGAGCTCCGGAGTGGGATGACTGGAAGGACACACATCCCAGAGGCTATGGCAACCGACAGAACATGGGTTAGTCTTACCACAACAAGATGGGACTACAGGGACTCACATCTGCCCAGCCAAGGAAAGCCAAGCAGTCTTCCCCTACCTGGGCTCCTGCTTCAGCTGTGTAAAATGAAGATGCTTAATCTTGTTTTGTGTTCAATAAAGTGTCAAACAAGTAAGTGTGTATTTGTACTCTAGGTGATCAGCCAGCAATCTTGTTTTGGCATTATCATCCTCATCATGGCTATTCCAATTTCATAAGTGGAAAGAAAAAAGTACCTGAGAAATGGCTCTGTATAATCAATGGCTATATGAATTCTCTTAAAAAATAATAAAAGTCCCTTTATTAAAAAAAAAAAGTAAATAGTGCTGAGGTCAGAAAATTCTGGGCTATAACATGAAATTTTCCTTATTTCTAGTTATTTGGATTTTGTTAATCAGTCTTACATCTTTATGCACACTGTACATGTCAGTGGTAGATCCAGACTTTGTGAGTACTTTAGCATATATAATTGGTCTTTATGAATATGATTATGAAATTAAAAATATAAAGCTGCTGTGGTTTAGGCAAGTGAGTAGCCCTTAAGCTTCCCTGTAAATAGTTTCTGGTTCAATTAGTTTTGTAACAGAGATTCCTAGAGGTGGAGCTGTTAGGTCAATGAGTATGGCCCCTATCATATATCGAATGTTTTTGTCCTCCCCACAAAATTCATATGTTGAAATCTAAGCTCCAATGTGATGATATTTGGATGTGGGGTGTGATTAAGTCAAGAGAGTGATTAGGTCATGAAGGTCATTCACTAATCTCCTGAATGAAATTAATTTCTTTGTAAAAGAGACCCCCCAAAAACTTCTTTACTCCCTCTGCCATGTGAAGAAACATGTTTACATGAGAAGGTCATCTATGAACCATGACGTGGGCTCTCATCATACAGTAGAATCTGACCTTGCTTGTACCCTAAACTTGGACTTCCAGCCTCTAGAACAATGATAAATAAATTTCTGCTGTTTATAAGCAACCCAGACTGTCATATTTTTGTTATAGTAGCCACACT